TAAGCTGCAGGACGTCAAACAATTATTAATTGAAGGAGTGGACAGAGTTGGTCCTGAAATGTGGAAAAATTTCATTGGTCATGTCGTCCAAGAAGAACAAAAAGCCTGGCGGTTGGATGAAATGGTCGATGATTCCCTAACAGCAGAAAACCAAGCATGCGTTTTGACCATAGGCAACGACTCGGACGACGAAGACGAAGACGAAGACTTCAGATATTTGTCAGATTCTGATTAAATTTTATATATATGTATATTTAAAATTGTAAATATTATGTTGTTGTACAGAGTGTAATTTTGTATATATTATGTTTTTTTAAATTGTTATTTAGAACTTTTAGCAAAAACTATTATATTACTACTACTATATATTATGTTTTATAGTGTGTGTAATTGTATTTATTTAAAATTGTAAATATGTCTGTAATTACTGACTTATATTAATTTAAACATAGTGATGTTCAGTATATTATTTCTAATTATTTTTAACAAACTTTTTATCCTGGGTAGTATTTTAAAAAATATATTTGAGTTTTTACTAGTGACAATTAAGTAGTTTGGTTAGGATTACGAAAGAATTTATATAAAAGTTGTGCAACAAGACCGTAGAGTAATTGCGCCGTTGGGCGACTGCCGAAGTGCCGACTGGCCACTGGCGTACAGTTGTGGCGTATGCGCACTGCGCGCGTGAACTTTGAAAGAAGGGGAATCGGTTTGTTGCGACTCACGAGCTCGGCTTCGGGCGTCATCGCCGTGTTCATTAAAGACGTTTGGAGGGAGAAATTAGGGTTCAGCGTCGCTGATGCCGTCAGTCGTGATGCGCGAAAAGTGATTATTCTCTCGTGGAATAGAGTATAAACGTCCCAATATCACATTATTCGTAGAAATGGCTATTGCCTATTATAGACCTTCCGGTATATACCTGCGGATTCTTAGAACAAAGTTATTTAGTGAAGGAGTAGTAGAAAAACACTTACGCACGCGGCACGCACGGTACAAGTTACCGCTACGACGTCGCGCGCGTGAACAGTAAAGAATGTATGCTAATTTGTATGTACTTTTTGTCAATCCTACTGATGGACCTAATGATGCGATAAAACTTCTGAAAACTGATTTTAATTCCTTAAAATGTCCACTTGCGATCGATCAAGCCACATTTTGAGATTTTAGATTTAAATAAGGAATAATCAACACTTAAAATTTTGTAATTTTTTAAATATTCAAACCAAATTTAAAGGAGTTGCAGATCGGAATTTTAAAAAGTGGACTGATCGATCTCAAGTAGACATATTGACAAATTCAAATCAGCTTTCAGAAGTTATATCGCCTTCATAGGCGTGCGCACGGGTACGGCCTATACGGCCTGTGCCGTACCTGTAATAATTCCTTAAATCTCAGTTTTCTAACTTTCCCTAAAATAATTATGTTTTTGTAATAAGAAATTATTTACTGTTTTAAAAATAATAATATAAAAATAAGACGGACAATAATCATATGAATTATGATAAGACAGCTGTCCTATACTCCTACCATACAACATGTTCCACAAAATAGTCCGTAGCAATACAATCCATCAAGATAACGCACCATTATATATTAATTCAGTTAAAATGAAATATTTATATCTATTTATAACGTTACGTCGACGCGCCGGCCGTCACAGCGCTGAAAATCTGGTTTTTATCGCAATCTACCGATAGGCGATAGTACCTAATATCTACCGATATTATTGATATAATATAATATAATATTGTAATTTGTATTGCATAGTATGCCATATTGTTATAGTTGACTATTTTTTATTTTATTTGTACAATATTACAATAACATAATATTCAATTCAACATGAATAACAAAAATAAGAAGATGAAGACTTTACATGATTTTTTTATGAACAAATCTACAAAACCTAATTCTGGTAAATACTTATTGCCTATTTTAATAATAATAATCTGTAAAGCACTAAAGCTTAATATTTATTAGCATTTTATAAGCACAAAACACTGTCAATATAATTAAATACTCACCTAGGCAATGTAATATTATACAAATATAATATTATTTAAAAAATTTAAAAATAATAAACTATTGTTGATATAATTCGGATTAATTTTAAAATTGTATAGTAATTATATTAATTAATTTAGATGACATTGATCCAGATGATCCAATAATATTGACACCTAGCACAAGTGATGTAGTAAAAACTGTGCATCAAATAAAAGAAGTACCTGGTATGAATTAAATAGTAAAATATTAAATAATAGACTATTAGTGTCATAAATGTAAAATAAAATTATTAAGTAATTATATTAATTAATTTAGATGACATTGATCCAGATGATCCATTAATACTGACACCTAGCACAAGTAATGTAGTAAAAACTGTGCATCAAATAAAAGAAGTACCTGGTATGAATTAAATAGTAAAATATTAAATAATAGACTACTGTGGTCATAATTTAAAATAATTTAATTTCTCTTTTTTAGTACATTTTTATGACCCAGCTGTTGAATTGCCTAAAAATCGTATTGAACTTAGTAAACGAGTGGATTATGGTCCTTACCAACCCGTGGTATCATTTCCACGAAAAAATATAGGGGGTAAAAATAGAAGTTTTCATGAAAACTATTATACACAATTTAAATGGATAGAATATTCACCTTCAAAGGATGCTGCTTTCTGTTTTCCGTGTCGATTATTTAAAGGAAATAGTATCAATAGAGGACAAATTGATCTTGCTTTTACTTCTAAGGGATTTAAGAACTGGAAAGACTCAGTGAGATCATTTTCTCGTCATCAAGCTTCCAAAGCACATTTATTTAGTTCTACTTCCTGGCATAATGTCCTAAATGAAAAACCTATTGATGTAATCATGAATGAAAATAAAGCGCTATTATTACTTGAACGAGAAAAAGAAAGATTAAATAATAGAGAGATGATGAAGAGGCTTATTGATATAATTATTATGTTAGGAAAAACTGGCAAATCTTTTCGTGGACATACGGAAAAATATACTGATCTAAATAAAGGCATGTTTTTAGAAATCGCTGACTTATTAAAAAAATATGATCCAGTCTTAAAAAATCACCTTGAAAATGGTCCACGTAATGCAATGTACACCAGTAATCGTATTCAAAACGATTTAATTTTATCTATACATAATGTATCATTTAGGACTTTATGTAGTTCTTTTAAGAATAGTTATATATCTATAATTGCCGATGAAACAAGTGATTGCGGACATCAAGAACAAATGTCTGTAGTTATACATTATTTTGATAAAAAATTAAATACACCAGTTGAAAGTTTTATAGGTCTTCAAAGACTACTTAAAGTTGACGCTCATTCCATTTTTGACAGTCTAAATGACATGTTGGTGAACAAATTAAATTTAGATTGGTCTGCTGTTTTAGCTGTGTGTTTTGATGGTGCTTCTAACATGTCAGGTTCTTACAATGGTGTTCAAGCTAAATGTAAAGAAAAAAATAGCAAAATAATGTATGTACATTGTTATGCACACAGTTTAAATCTAATGCTTGTTGATTCTATTGGTCCAAGAAATAAAATTGCATTCAATTTTTTTGGCATTATTCAACTAATTTATTCATTTATTGAAGGAAGTTGTATACGACATGCTGTACTTGAAAAAGTATCCAGAGATGCTAATTCAAAATTAGTTACTTTAAAATCCCTTTCAACAACACGCTGGGCATGTCGATCAGAAGCAATAGCTGCTATTAAATCTAATTATTTAATACTTTTACAAGCAATTGAAGAAATAAAAAATTCAACAAGAAATCCTGAAATAAAAGCAAAAGCTAAAGGTCTAATAATTAATATGAAATCATTTAAATTTATATTTGCACTTAATATGTTACATCCCATCTTACTCTCTATAGCAAAAGTTAGTTCAAAACTACAAACGGAAAAACTTGAATTACTAACTGCAGTTGACTTGATAACAGGATTGAAAAATATTCTTTCTGAATTTAGATCCTATGACCATGACTTTGATGTGATATATGATGCTACTTAAAAAATCTAGAGATTCCAGAAGTTAAGAAACAGAAAATATCAAGTAGAGTTGATCTTAATAAAGAAACACAACATTTTATAGAATCTCAAAAAGAAGAAATGAAATATTCCTGTTATTTTGTAACATTAGATGAAATGTTAAGTGGCTTAAATTCACGTTTTAATCAAGAAACTTTGAGTATAATTTCTGCAGGTTCCTTATAAACTACACTTTGAAGATATCCCCAAAGGAAATAATCTGGCGAAGTCAAATCAGGACTACGAGGTGGCCAACATATTTCTGGACTGAATGTTCCCATCCATTTTGACCCAAAAGTTGAATTTAAATATTGAATGACAGTGCCTTTATTATGGGCTGGAGCACCATCCTGCTGCCAAAGTAAATCTTTTCGACGTGATAAAGGTACATCCTCCAAAAGAATAGGAAGATCATTTTTTAAAAAATTTAAATATTTATCACCGTTTAAATTTTCAGAAAAAAAAAATGGGCCAATCAATCTGTCATAAAAAATACCACACCAAACGTTAATACCATAACGTTCTTGAAAATTCTTCTCAACGTGCCAGTAAGGATTACCATTTGACCAGTAACGCATATTCTGACGATTCACATTGCCATTATTGTGAAATTTAGCTTCATCGGTCCAACATATCCTCTCCAAGAATTGAGGATTATCTTCAATTTCAACAAGTACCTTGTGTTTTATACAACATAAGTTAATAAAAAAAGTTTTAAAAATAAAAACAAAATATGAAGGTACCTTGGCAACCCAAACCAGGCGACGCTCACAATCATCAAATCTTAAATGCTGTACAGTGCGTCGTTTATATGGATAATATTTATTTTTCTTCGCAATTCTCTGAACTGAGCTATAAGAAATTCCTATTTGTTCTAAATAAATGATAATAAAACAAGATAATTATATGTACCTATCTATGTTTTTTTTTTGAATTTATGTTATTTACTTACTCGATAATAATCTTAAAGATGTGTTTGGATTTTCCTCAAATGCCTGTAAAACGATTTCTGCATATTCTTCTGTAGTTTTTGTTAATTGTCTTTTTTTTTGTTTATTAAAACTAAGATCATTTACATTAGCAGGCATTTCCTTGTAAACTATACTTTGAAGATAACCCCAAAGAAAATAATCTGGCGAAGTCAGATCGGGACTACGAGGTGGCAAACATTGGGAACGTTCCCATCCAATTCTTACCAAAAGTGCTATTTAAATACTGTATGACAGTATTCTTATTATGTGCTGGAGCAAATAAAGGGAACCTAACCTAACAAATAAAGGGACACAACAAATAACCTACATCAGACTGATATTACAATGGTTTGTGCATCGAGGAAGCGAGTACTGTATTGTCAATCTGATGTGGGGCTATAGGCTCAGAGCCCGTTTTTCTTAGTGCCTATCCGACTTTCCATTTATAAATATTAGGTATTCTGGGATATATTTTTTGTATAATGTATAATTTGCATTTTAAATCAAAACTATCTTGTGTGTGAACAGACCAAATAATGGACATTAATTTAATACTAAATTATCAAAGGTAATAAACACATTAGTTATCAATAATATTACTAGAATATGAACAAATTTCCGTAATGCAAATTTTTGCAGAATTTGGGTAAGGTCATAACTAGTAAAAAATATCAACACTTGATATGTCCACAACCCAAGATAAATTAATAAAAATTTAATGAACATTAAACACACTTTACATTATCTAGGTACTCTAGATTACAACATATTTTTAGGGCTATGGATGTTTTAAAAAATAATAATCTTTTTACTTATTTTTGAAATGAGGTGAGTTTTTAATTAATATTTTATGATATAAAATTATTTTAACATTGCATGAAAATGACATACTCATATTAAAAAAAAAAAATGTTAAATTTTTCAATTTAGATTAGTAAAAACTCCATAGCCCTACAACTTATGGTCTACTTAATAGTAAGTCAATAATTTAAGGTAATTGTTTAAACATAAAAACAATGTTATCAACAAATTTTACAAATGTAGAAGTAGTTGGCCTTGATATTGCACACTTTTTCTTTATCTAAATGCAATTAAAAAAAAAATTATTTTAAATTATTTAAAAAATTTATTTATTTTATATAAAAAAATAATATATTTATACATACTTAATTGATTCTGTTGTCAATTTAAAAATTTAAACATGTTTCATTCCATATTAACTTAAAAAGTTATCATGTAGGTACTATATGTGACTGCGAGAAATCAAAAATAACAATTGTTATACAATTTGTTCTACCAATCTAGTTATAGATATTTGAATTAAAAGTTAATACAACTAAATTCAATTGAAATTTGAATGAAAACCATATGAATTCCCTAAAAAAAAAATATGATTAACATCAAATTACTTAGGTATAATATTGATTAATTTAATAATAAAAAAATAATTGTACTTACGTAGTTATTGTTTAGTCTCTTGTTTATTTTATTCCATATTAATTTATGAAGTCTTCAGATTGGAACCAGTAGCAAGATACCAGTGTGCAATATGAATTTGCATTAATTACTTGTCAGATTCAACTGTCTAGTGTCTAGTCATATTATTATAGTTCAACGTTATTTTTAATTAACTATACCAATTTTATTATTTGCCACTGAAATAAAATCAAAATATTTTAATTGTAGTTATAGATATTTTTATTAAAAGTTAATGGGTAGGTACTACTAAATTCAATTGAAATTTGAATTAAAACAAAATTTAATTTCCTAAAAAAATTATGATTTACATTAAATTCTGTAGAACATTGATTTATTTTATATAAAAAAAATATTCGTACTTACATAAATAATTGTTAATCTATTGTATATTTTATTCCATATTGATTTATGAAGTATTCAGATTGGAACCAGTATCAATTACCTATAGGTACCGGTACCAGTATGCAATATGAATTTGCATTAATTGCTGGTCAAATTCAAATGTCTTGTGTCAAGTAATATTATAGTTCACTGTTATTTTTGATTAATTATACCAATTCTACTAATTGCCACTGAAATAAAATCAAAATGTTCTAATCATAGTCTTTATTTATCAATAATATTAATCATTTATTAAAAAAAAAAAAAATCAAATTTTAGATTAAACTTACCAATAAAGTATACATATAAATAAAGTTATCGGCAAAGTGTGAAATTTAATTCTCATACATAATAATGCAGCTGATAGGATAGAAGTGTATAATATGCATATTTTTAATTAAATTTTAAACTAAAATAGGTACAACATTATTTAAAAAATGTAAAACATTATCAAAAAATATGCATTGGTTTAAATTTATATTTTAAATAGTACACATAATTTAGTTTTTACTTAAAATGTTATTTGTGTTTATACATTCAATGAATAATAATTAATATTCGAGATTCGACAATTAATTTATTTGACAACTTACTCTTAAACTAACGTAAGCAATTAATCAAAAACCACATGTTTTCAGAAACGACAGAAACTGTTTACTGTTTACTGTTTACCGTTTCTCGTTTATCTACAAACTCTTAAGAGATAAGACCGTATACCAAGAATCAGTAACCGGTGCTATATTATGTAACCATAATGGTAAAATGTTATTATCATACTTTAAATATGATACTGCAGCTGCAGCTGTTGTAGGCTTGACGATTCACTCGGTGTTGTGAGTGGGGACAAGATAGGAAGGTCCAAATCGTGTGACCTTTGTACTTATTAGTTTAGGATTATAGGATTATGACTATTATGACCGTTTGGGTCATTAAATTGAGATATAATTTCGTTTTGACTTCTGGTTTTTACTGTTGGGTTTGATCAATTGCCCAGTAGCTGTAAATTAAACGAATATTTAAGCATAAATAAGTCGCAAACGAATTACTCAAATTAAATTCTGCAAACGTTAAAATTATTTTTTTCAGATTGTTTATAGATTTTTGTTATTGAAAATAGGTGTTGCCATTTGAGAATCGAAAGTTGATTGTGCTTTATCAAATAAGGGAGGGACTCAAAATTATCAAAATTATAACAAATTGTAAAACAGCAAAACCTAGAAAATTAAAAAAAAATTTTTTCTTAAAATTCCTAATACTTACCGAAATATTGACTGGTCCATGATAAAAGAATCACCCTGTATATTATATAATTATATGTATTGGAAATTTGAAAATAGTATCCAGTGGTTAGTAAAGCTACTTAACAATATCAATACAATAAGAAGAAGCATTTTTTATTGTTATTAATATTAGTAATATTTATAAAAAAATGTGTTTAGTTATTAAAATTTGAAAGTACGCTGTACATCTGATTTTAAGGGGTTAATACCTTAAAATATACCTAGTACCAAAGCAATTTAATGATATTCAACAAAAATGAAAATCTAACAATTACCTTGGTAGTAATAACCTAGGTAGGTGTTGAGTAATTACAAAATTGTACAGAAAAATTATTTTGTGTACGTGAAGAACCTCGACGACTACACCTTAAATACATTACTTACGTCTTACAGTAGCGCAACTGTGCAACTAATACAAAAACCTCACCATACAGCTTGGGCTATGAATTATTTAAAACAACCCAAACATATTATGTTTATGCTCAGAAGCAGTGGCGGCCTGGGCACACATTACTTGGTCGGCTAAATAAAAAAAGGGCCCTCCATTTAGGTACAATTAGAAAGACATAACATATTTTTTTAATACATTTATTATAAAGATTGCCTACTTGGCTATACTAACAAGGTAAATAATTAAAACATATTTATAAAATTTTAACACTCGAAAATTAATTAATCATAAATAATAAATAATAATAAACAAATTATGAATATGGATGATTAATATACAAGCAATTTTTTTAATTCTGTCGATGAATGTGCATAACAACTTATTATTTCTTCTAAATCAGAAACTTTATCACTTTCAATGCTAATAAGTAATAGAGGTTCTAATAGTTCTTGACTTATTGATGATCTTAATCTTGTTTTGATTATTTTTAATTTTGAAAATGATCTTTCACAATGTACTTGTGTGCATGAAAGAGTTAATATAAATTTATATGCCAAGAACAGATTAGTAAATGCAGCTGTATGGAAGTTATACTTGTAAAATAATTTCATGACGCATGGCATACATTTACTACAAGTTGAATTTTTATATTCATTTGGTTTTGGTGAATATTTAGGAATATCAGTCATTGTTTGATTTTTATATAAATTGTCATCTTCATCAGTCACTTCAGATTCTTCTGAATCGTCAAATTTGATTTCACCTTCAAGTGATTTTGATACCATATCATAAGAAGCTGAAAAATTAATTAATTCTTCTTTAATTAAATCTGTTTGTAGTCCAATAATTTCACAAAAATTGTTGAAAACTTTTTCATTATTTCCATCAAATGTCAAAATGTTATTTTTAATATCTATAAATCTATTAGGATCAAAAAATGTTAACGCTTGCATAATGTTTTTATTTTTCAAAAATCTGTTTTCAATCGTCATGGATAATAAGTCGAATATAACACGAAACACCTGTACTCTGTATAATTTTAAAGAATCATTTCCAGCTATTTCATCGTTTGATAGCTCATCAAACATTTTCTTTTTTTTATATTTTCTTTTCTCAGGTAACGATGTTTCAATGAAAATACTTGCAAATTTTTCCGTTTTTATTTCCATTATTTCAGTGAAATTTTTAGCTTGTTCATAAATTTTGTCGAATTCATTACTCATATTTTTTATTTCATTTCCAAATGAAACAATTTGGTTCCATGCAGCTAGATAGTCCAAGCATTTAGTTTGTAAGTACTTGGAAACAGGAGTAGCTTTACTAAAAATGTGAATGTATGTAAAAGCTGTAAGTATGATTTCAAAACTTGTCCATTTTTCTAACAAATTTCTTGCTTCAGCGGCTGTTCCACCATCTGCAATTCCATCAAATCCAATAGTGTGAAGTAGTTCTAACAAACATAAATATCTGTCCCTCTTATTATTTTCCTCCGTAACTGAATGAAATATTGCTTGCAAAGCAATATCTTTGCTATTCCATCTAGTTTCCCCAATTTTTTTTAATTTTCTAAGTTTTTCACTTCCATTTTTTTCTTGTAAAATATTTCTCCACAAATTTGTTCTTTTATATGAACGTGATACAAACACTGCAGTTTGTTGACAATATTCAAATACATTTTGAGCAGGAATACAACAGTTTGTTATATCTCCTATTATAAGATTCAATACATGCGCATGACAATGTGTAAAAATCGACTTCGGAGAATCTTTTTTCAAATGAGCCTGCAATCCAGAGTACTGCCCACTCATATTTGCTGCACCGTCGAAAGATTCACTTATTAGGTTTTTCAGATCAATAGATAGACTTTCTAAACTTTTTTTTACCAACTTATATTGTTCTTCTCCTGTTGAAGATTTTACCTCAAGCATGTTTAAAAAACGTTCCTGGACCTCACCTTTATATACATACCGAATACATAATGATAATTGATCCATGACCGACACGTCTTGGGTGGAATCAATTTCTAATGAAAATATTTTCGCGTTGATAACTTCATCAGCAATTTTTTTCTTTATTAAATTACCAATTATTATAATTATTTTATTGAATGTATTTTTTGATAAAAATGAATTGAAAGAACCTCTCCCTCTTGGTCCTTTAATATTTTTAGTATCAGCATTTTGTTTTAAGATTAGACTCTTTTTTGAATTAATTTCAATAAAATTTTTTAATACGGGGTCAAATTTTGCCACCAACTTTACAATTGCCAAAAAATTACCTATTTTCGAAGAAGAGTCTTGAAATGAATAACAACTTTCATTTCTATGTCCTCTAAATGGTAAATCCTGTTTTGCAAGTACTAAAATTACAGAAATAATTCTTTCAAGAACTTGTCGTCTAGTTTCAATATCTTTTTTTTTTTTATCGTTAAAATATAAATCCAATGATTTTGAAGAACATGCTACTAAATAAGCATCAACTGCTAATTTGTGATTTTTACTTATTTTGTGTATTTCTACACTTTTGTAAATATGTTTTACATTAACTGGAATCCCAGTCACCCAGTTTACTGATCGATTGGTAGCAAAAGCCATACATATAGAACAATACATATTATTATTAGATACATTATAACTTAACCATTTACGCTGAATGACTTCTCTATTGTCTTTATTTTCTATGGACCTATAATATGTCTTAGATGGATCAAAAAATATTAAAGGACCCGTAGGTTGTATTGGATGGTTGTTGACAAAATCAATTTTTACATTAGTTGGCATATTTGAAGGTGAAATAAAATACCCAGTGTTCATAATATCACTATTGACTCCCATATTAGATTCATTGTCGGCGCAATCGTCATATAAATCATTAGACAGTTAATTTATGTTAGTATGGGTATTATCTATATCATCGTTTATATCTGTGCATTGTAATGAAGTTTCTATTTCTATATTTTCCTGCTTTAATATCAATTGATTACTTTGAGAATCAGTCGTGTAGTCAAGCTTTGTGGCCTCAATATTGTTAATTGAAATGCTAGTAGTGTGAGGTATTTCTATGTTATTTGGTTGAATACTACTCGGTTTATTTTGATTTGGTACACATGAAAATGATAATTTGGTCTGTTTTGAATTATTCCCTGCATTTTTTAGATCTATTTGTCGCTTTCTGACACGTTTTTGATAGCCTGAAGGCAGCTTTTCTTTATTATTCATTGTGCTACAAATATAAAGTCACAATTTATACATAAAATTATTACGTTACGAAAAGTCGGAAAATTTTAAAATCTAAACTAGTTGTAAATTGCCGAATTTATAATTCTTGAGAATAATATAAAACTAATTACATTATTTTCTTTATTGTTTACTCTAAACACACCAATAAACAATATTCCCAAAACCCGTAAACTGATTGAATACTATAATAAATATTAAATATACCTGTATATTGTATCACTGTAGCTAATTAGATAGTATGTAGTATGTAGATTGTTAGATTGTATGATTGTATCACTGTAACTTTAGTAGGCTCGGCGACTCGGGCGTCGGGCGGCGTTCACGCGTTCACCAGAGTCGCTTGGTAAATGACGCACGTGGCTCGAGTGTCGCGAACACATCGTTTCGATAAGCGACGATAACGATTAATAGTAATGAAAAGAAAAATATTTTTATATATAGGTATTGTACATTATATAGTATTATTAATATCAGAAATAAATCGCGTGACTGCGTAAGCCAAGAGTAATAACTAGTGTCTAATATTCTAATAATAAAATATTTTTGTGGTCGTGTAATCGTCACAATTGATTTTACGGAGAAATACTATTTTTAATTTTTATCGACCGATATAAATTTCAAATCAAGGAACTACGTTCACTATCTGTACAAATAGTACAATGTACAATATATAACAAGTTCATTACTCAATTAAATTCAATATAATTTTAAGATAACAGAAAATAATAATTGACATGTTGTACATGGTACGGGTTATTATGTTATTTAAAATAGTTTTTTTCTCTAAATCGGCCATTCCTCAAAAAAAATTACGGCTCTTTTCAAAGGGCCTTATTAGAAGGGGGCAAGGGGGCCCAGTCGGCAATCGCCGTCTCGCCGACCTGGCCAGGCCGCCACTGCTCAGAAGTTAAAAAGAACTGCGGCTAACTACCTATGACAGCATAGTATTTACAAAACTATAAATTAATAATTGCAAATTGTATAGTATATGTATATTACTTCAACTTCAAACCAGATTTAATCAGTCTAATATAATATTAAAATATAAAAATGTCATGGCGTATAGTAAAATTGGTAATGTTTATAAGTGCCCATGAATAATGTTTTTGAATTAGGTACAACGAAATAAATAATATCGTTGTTTTTCGTTTAAATATCTAATTTCATCCAAATTCGAACTTTAAATGCTTACAAAGAAAAAACGTGCCTACATAACTTTAATATTTTATCAACAATTTATAGAAAAAAACTAAAAAAAATATTGAATATTAATAATACCTATAAATTGTTCAAAACCTGGTATAGATATAAAAATGTATGAAGGAATCTTGTATGACATTTTCAAATTAAAAAGATAAATTCTTAAGAATTTCTAACTTAAATTAATTAGCAAATTTTCATAATTTTGACGGATTTTGTTAAAATTCGTACTTCAAACGCCCATAACGGAAATTGTACATATTTTTCAATTTTGAAACATCATAACATTCATAACTATTACCTGCCACCTGGGTATACATTTATAATTAATCCTACATTACAGAACAGTCTTTATCTTAGATCACGGACTAAGATCCGTGTAAAACTAATCGTTTTATCGTTACCTATAAACTATAATCATTAATCTATAATAGGTATCCTCGCTTTCTGAATTATCAGTAAAATAAAGTTTACGATGAAATAGCACAATTACGAAAGCGTAGGAATGCCACCAAAATTATAGAAAATGTTTTTTAACATTTGTTATAACTTATAACGGATATAATTTCTGCAATTACAAATAATTTATTTGTTTTTAATATTTTTATATATTTATCCTTTATAACAAATAAATTATTTGTTATAACAGAAAATATATCAGTTAAAACAAATAAGTAATTTGTAATTACTTAACAGAAATTATTTCCGTTAGGTATAACAAAGGTTGAAAAACATTGTTTATTTTTCTATAATTTGGGTGGCACTCATACGCTACCATACACAATATACCTAACAATTACTAAATAACTATTACTTTAATATTAGTCTTACACTCTTACTAATAAGTAATAATTATCTAATATAATAATATGTAACTAACAATAGTATTATAGTAACCTAAATAACAAGGCAGTATCCGGACTTTTTTCGGAGGGGTTGTTTAAAACATGTTTATTGTAATTTGATTGAATTTAGGTTTTGATATTAGGTTAAAAATAAGACATGTCGAAGACATTTGGGGGTGTTAATTGTTAAGTAATAACTCTTACGACCACTTGGTTTTTATAAATATTAGGTCTTTTAACTTATTACACTACATTTCAGCTGTGAATTGCTGTTAAAATTTACATTGATTGAGGTTATTTTCTGCCTTTTAGTAACTTTTTATCATAACAATATTTTGTAATTTTCTTCTACATAAAAAATTTGTAGTCAAATTAGTATTTGTTAAATATTTTTAGTACCCATATTACTATCAAATTTAAATCATTGTAGAATTCATTCAAATTGGATGGTTGATAAGTAAAAATACCAGCAATACCTAACCTAATTATTAATAATATTCTATAGTATAGATATTTCAATTATTCAAACTCAATTTTTTTAGTAGGTATACAAGTAATATTACCTACCTCAAGTAGCAAAGTAATATATTTTGGTATAATAATTGTACAATTTATTTTTTTTGTAATTAATTTACTATTAAAGAACAATATGAAGATTTTATAAGTGTATTTTTTACAGGTAGTTAGTTTACTTGTTATTATTATTAATAAAAACATGTGAATAAATTTCCACGATTTTAGATTTCTACTTTGAATATCTTTAGGGATATAGTAATAAATATTTTCAGATTCTCTTCAATCACCTCAAATCTATTTATTACTATTCTTTTAGATTTAAGTTATTCATGTGGCTCGTCAGCCTTGTTGTGGCCCCTGGCTATATATTATAAGTATGCACTAGTTATAACTTATAATATACTTTTAAAATTATATCTTAATACAAGATACAGGCCATATATTTCAGTAGCATAACAAATATAAGTTACTTAAAACAGTTTTCTAAAGAAAAAATAAATTTACATTAAATTATTATTTTACTATCTAAAGTAAAAATGTACCCAAAAATATTAATTATAGAATACATTATTTAAATAAAAGGGTAGGTACATTATATATATTTAAATAAATGATTAAATATTTACATAATATTTTGGTTAGTAATATGAAAATAAATGGCATAATTAAACTAGTTTATGTATAACCCTATTGGCTATTATATAATATTACATTTTATAACTAGAATTTCCTTTTAAGAATTCAAGATTTTGAAATTACTATCTGATTAACATAATCTTGTAAGGGATATTATAAAACCAGCAAAATAAAACAATTGTTCAACTCATGCACATAAACATTATTCATCAGTGCCTATTATACTTTACAAATAATTTTTTAATTACAGAATATTTATTTAAACATACCAAACATAATCTGTAAATAATATAATGCCTGAGAAATAGATTTGTACTGTACCTACCAGTGGCGTATCCCCCTGGTGGCTAAGGGAACTATAGCCCCCCCCCCCCCCTGACCGTGTTGACCTTAGAATTTTATCAAGATTAATACAAAAATAAAAAGTGTAAATAAAAAACATATTGTATTTGTATACTTAGCCCCCCCTACAAAATTCCTGGCTACGCTACTGGTACCTACTGTTAGCTTGTTTTCACACAATGCAACACAGCTACTGTAAACTAGTAAAATGGGATACAAGATGCAACGCATTTATTTTAATAACTATTAAATTCCATTTTTTGTATAAAACCTTAAAAAAACAATAAAGTTACTACTTATATATATATTTAGGGTTTTCCTTTAGTGTATGCACTGATGTCCAGGAAAACTGAACAAGCATATAAAGCTCTTTTTTTATACATCAAGACTATTGAACCTACTTGGCAACCGACTACTGTTATGACAGACTTTGAACGTGCTTCTATCAATGCCATACATACAGTTTTTCCAACAGCCAGTGTTGTAGGCTGTTGGTTTCACTCATCACAAAGTGTATCAAGAGCTAGGTAAAATTTTAGAATACCTATTACAGATTAAAAAATTGAATAAATAAAATAATAATATTTTTGTAATTTATTAAATATTTTTTATTTAAGCACAAAAATACAAAATGATTTATAAATTTTTGGAAATAATTTCTAGGACTAACAAATTTGTACAGAGAAAATAGAAAAGTACATGACCTATTTAGAATGGTAATGGCAATTGCGTTATTGCCAAACCAAAAGCGGGATGAAGGTTTTAATGAAATCAGAAGGATGTACCATACGGAAATTCAAGACTATATTGGACAAACTGATAATGAAAGCATACATACATTTCTGGAGTATTATAGTAGAACATGGTTGACAGGTTATTTGAAAATATAAATAAATATGAAATAATATTTATGAACTAGATGACCCTGTACGGTGTTGCTCGTGACAAATTAAATACCCGTGGATTTACCTCTTCTTAATCTCTGCTAAATGTAAACTGCGCATATTTTTAATGCAGCTGTTATTTGGGTTTTGTTGATCATACATCAAATACAGG